ACCTCATCAGATTCTGCACCAGAACATTGAGGCTGATTGATTTAGGCTCCAACTGAATCGATTAGAAGATATGCTGAATCAATACTTTGATTTCCAAGTTGTTACGGAAGCTACCCTGTACAAGAGAATCGATGATCTCACCCACCATGTGAAATCATTGGAAGATCTGCACTCTAAAGATATTTCTACTTTAAAAGGGAAGATAGAAGTTTTGAGGAAGAACAACCAAGACAGAAGTAAGACCATCGATGCTAAGGCTGCCAAGCTAGAGAATAAGGAGGCCAACAAAATTTCTTCATGGTACATAGGAAGAACAGATGGTGAACTTCAAGAGATTGAATTTCGCCAAAGCAAGCTTGAGCACAAGAGCAGAGAAACCAGTTATGACGTCAAGCATCTCTCTAAGCGCCAAGGAGACACAAACCTTATGGTGAAGAAGATCTTTGAGAATCATAAGAAGGATTCTCTTGTCCACGGTTGATTTGAGTACAGTGGGCAACACAAGTTTTACCCTAGACAAGCTGCAAGTGCACAACAAACGCAGTAGTACTTAGGGATCGAATCCACAGAGATCTGTGTGTTGAGGACTTCTAACTGATGCTAAAAACAATCGTAACCTAATCTAATAAAAAGGGGTTTTGGTTTGTCACTAAATCTAATTAGGCAGAGAATTAAAAAGAGCTTTAAGTAAAAATCGGTTGAAAAACAGTAAGGAAAAAGCGCTGGGTTCAAGGTTCATCTTCAGGGTTCATGTTCTAAAACACAAGAAATTTAGGCAAGGATTTTCTATGACTCTGAAACTAGGATAGACACATGTAAGATTAGCCAACTCTCGTCACCCTAATCATCTAATCACTCGTTCATGGCAATTAACTCTCGCTCTCATGCCAGAACAAGATCATGCTTTGTAGATCGGAATCCATCTCTGCTTACGTATCCTCCGTTAGGTAGCTTTCGTCTCCTACAACGGGGACGTCCATAAGATCCGGTTCAGGCAACCCAGATACAACACTCTTGTGGCTCGGATTAAACCTAGGATCGGATTCTGGGTGATCAATCCAGAATTACCGGTTTGAGAATTGGATGAATGGGAGAATCATGTTAAAAATTGAAATCCTTTTTCCTAAAAACCTAGATGTCATCCGAACATGGGATCCCTTTGGGTTACCCTTTCACCCAACTAGGTGACTACTCAGACATGGCTGAGGTAGACATCATCATCGGTTTAGAACTAAGAAGAAGAAAGTAAAAGAAACAAAGTTGCAGAAAAACTTTTCTGGTTTTTTGAATGTTTTTGTTTTTTTTTTCTTTTTTTTTGGGTTTTATGAAAGCCTGAAATGCATAAAAAGAAAAGAAATCAAATAGAAAAGAATAAAAAAAAAAGAAAATCATACCAAATGAGTTCATATTAAGCGCTTTTGTTTAAAGTCTTTTAGCTAGACTTTTGGCAGAATTAGGATTGAGAAGAAGAGACAGGACCCCTTGAATTAAGAGTCCTTGTGGTCCCCCTTAGCCTGAACTTTGGATTTCTTCATCTTGAATCACAATCTCTTTTCCTTTCTTAAGGATTTTTGCATCCTTGAGGACATATTTTGTCTTCTCAACAATTCCTTCAAGATTTTTCTCCCTTTCCTTGCTGATGTCTGGTGGCACCACTATCTTGATGTTTCCAAATTGCCTAGATGCAAGTGCTTTTAGTTCCTTCTTGTCCTCCAACACCTTCTCCTTGTCCTTGTCTTTTTGATTTGGAGCTGTGTCTGGTGTGGTCTTATAGAAATTTCTCCTGTCCACATTTAAGAAAACTAAACAACGATTTGCATGGTCAATAACAGCACCTACAGTAGCTAAGAATGTGCGACCAAATATCAAAGATCTGTGTTTGTCCTTGTCCATCTCCAGGACTTGAAAATCAGCTGGGATTTTTATTGTTTCCAATGATCAGTGGCAAGTCCTGGATCATTCCTTCTGTTCTCTTTTAAAATGAATCACCAAAGATTATCCTTATTGGGGATGGGACAAATGTACCTATACCAAGTTTCTCAGCAACAGATTTTGACATGACATTCACATTAGCAGCAGAATCACATAAACAATCTGAATATTCAATTTCAAAGATTGAACAGGTGAATGAGAAACGCCCTGGATCCTTAGACTTTTTGAGTCTTTGGTCAGGCAAGCGTTTGGGTACCTTAACGGGAATGACTCGGCTTTTCTCATGCTCGGTTTTAGAGTCCTTTATGAGAGGTTCATGTGTCAATCTCTCCTTAGAAACTGCGACAGGTTCTTCCTCCAAAACTGCTGTCATAGCATTGCAGAACTTCTTTGGGTTATCTTCTACTCTTCCTGGTAAAAATCCTGGTTGTCTCTCATTGAATCTGCAGTTTGACCTATCTGATGTTCCAACTTCTTGACATGGGTCACAAGAGATTTGAACTTCCCATTCAAATCAGTGTAGATACAATCGATCTTCACCCCCATTTCCCTGAATGACTTCTCATTGCCTTGAGTAGTCTGCATCATAGTTAGTTCAAGCGATTTTACCTGATTACATAGCTGGGAAAGGGTTGCTTCTAATGAGCTGGTCTGTGTTTGTTGAGGATTGAATGCTGGTCTTTGTTGGAAGTTTCCTCCTCCATAGTTTCCACCTTGAAACTTGTTTTGAAAACTCCTTTGCTGCTGTGGTTAGGGCTGATTTTCGGCTCCTTGATTTCTGTATGAGAGGTTGTTGAAGTTGGCACCAGAGTTCCTAAAATTGTTTTTGAAAGCTGGACTAAATCGATTATGCTATGCCTGAGCTCCCATAAAATTGATTTCTTCCTCATGGTACATGCCATCCTCTTCATATCTTCCGTCTGCTTCATTTCCTATAGCAATATCACAAGCATGTATATTCTTGTTTTGAGACTTAAGAAGTTGGCTTACCATGTTTTTTAGCTCAGCAATCTCCCTTGATTCATGACTAGTGATAGTCTTCTTGATCTGTCATACTCAGGGTTGTTGTTGCAGTTAGCTACAGCCAGATTTTTGATGAGTGCTCTCCCTTGTGGTATGGTTTTTGAACTGAAAATCTCTATTGCTGGCAGTGTCAAAAGAAAGTTGATACTTCTGCTGAAAGCCTCTGTAGAAGGTGCTTAGCAGGTTTGCTCCAGAGAAACCATGATGAGGGCAGTCTCTCTCATACTCCTTGAATCGCTCTCAGGCTTCATATAATGATTCTGTTGGGCCTTGTTGGAAGATTTGTATCTTGTTTCTTAGCTGGTTCGATCTTGACTTGGTGTAGAAGTGGTTCAGGAAAGCTGACTTGCATTTTTCCCATGAAGTAATAGAACCAGATGGCATAGATTTCAACCATCTAAAAGCTTTATCACTTAAAGAGAAAGGAAAAAGCTTACACTTCACATAGTCCACAGTTTCTGGAGTTGTTCTCACCATTCCAGAGATTTCTTCAAAAAGATCAATGTGATCCATTGGATGTTCAGTAGAGCATGGAATTGGTTCTGTTTCACTAAAGAGACTATCTGAGGTTTTATCTCATGATTATCTCTTGGAAGAGGGATTTGAATAGCTGATCGATTTTGAAAGTGTTGGTGAGGTGCATCAAAATCGGCAATGAGTCTGTTCCGAGGCTGTCTTCTCGCAGGATTGGCAAGTTGTATTGGTCGATTGGCTTCTCTAATGACTGGTGGAACAATGTTTTCATCATTCCTTCTTCCTCCAACATCGGTCTGGTCTTGTCTCCTTTGATTTTCAGCGGCTGGAGCAGGATTTAGAGGGATTCAGTTTCCCTCTTCATCGAGTTGTGGCTGTCCATCTTCTTCATGAGCAGCATCTATGTCGTCACCATAAACTGAATCACGGTCATCGTCTCCAATGTGATCCTCCTGATCACGGTTTAAAAGATTTTCCCGATGGGCATTAGGATTGGCCATCTTGAGCGTTCTTCGTCTGAGTTTCCTAAGTGCTTTTTCATGTTTGTCAATCTCGTCTAAGGGCAATACGATTTCGTCAGGATCTCTCCTAGTTTTCATGCACCTGTTAGCAAAGAAAACAAAGATAAAAAGAGGAGATAAAAAATCTCCAGCAGAACTCGAAAATCTTGAGGTTTAGGATTGAAATTAGATTAAGAAGTAAGTCAACAGCAACAGATCCCCTGCAAAGGCGCCAAAAACTTGATGTGAGTGCAGTGGGCAACATAAGTTTTACTTTAGACAAGCTGCAAGTGCACAGCAAACGCAGTAGCACATAATCATCATCACCATCTCATAAATACACTTAGTGATCACTGGGATCAACAATTGGTGCTAGAAAAAGGAGAGTTTAGAGATTTTCTATACGCAAGAGAAAGATTTAGAAATGGCAGGAGCACCGACCTCGACCTCAGGAGTGCTGAAATCGTCACCAGCAAGAGCACAACCAGCAACTACATCAGTCGCAACACTCGCGGAACCCTAGCTGCCCACACCCGTCCCTCAAGGAGACCACCATGTCAACAGAGGCCGGAGCGTCACCACCGCAACTACCAGCACTGCCCCTCGCTCCGGATCCCATGCTAACAAACAGCCTACCTCGCCAGATCTTGGACCTGTTGGCGCTGCCCCCGAATCCGGTCCATGTTATCCCACAAACGCCGGTCGAGCAGCATGCTCCAGCAAGTGGAGAGCATGTTCTGGCTCCTCTGCTTCACTCTTTGCTTAACATGATGGACGAGATGACATGCCAAACTGACCAGAGATTCGCCGAGCTGACGGCAGAGCGCGGAATGCGGACAAACTAACCAGAGAACCCCAGGTCCTCAGCCGAGCGAAATCTTGGATGTCGACCATCTATGGTACATAGAGATGTCAAAAGTACAAATATATTGTTGGACGAACGATATAGTGCCAAAATTGCGGATTTTGGGCTTTCAAGATCTTACCAACTCGAAGATGAATCTCATCATGTTTCAACAAGTTCTAATGTTTATAGGACTAGAATACTTACATTTTGGATGTCGACCATCTATGGTACATAGAGATGTCAAAAGTACAAATATATTGTTGGACGAACGATATAGTGCCAAAATTGCGGATTTTGGGCTTTCAAGATCTTACCAACTCGAAGATGAATCTCATCATGTTTCGACAGCTATTGCTGGCACTCCTGGATATCTTGACCCTGAGTAAGTATAATTACTCCACCTAAGATTTGGTGCCTTTGGTTGTATGTATGAACAGGATATGTCAAAAGAAACTCAAAAATGATAATACGCACAAATGAGCTAAAATTTGTGTCAGCATTCATCTTTTCCAGTTAAACGAGTTTACATATATTAATCTATGTTTTTGCCATGCTAGATACTACAGGACAGGTCGTTTGGCAGAAATGAGCGATGTCTATAGTTTCGGGATTGTATTATTGGAGATAATCACAAACCAACGCGTGATGGACCTAACCCGTGATAAGTCACACATAGCAGAATGGACAGCATTTATGCTTATTAGAGGAGATATTACCAGAATCATGGATCCTAACCTTCATGGTGATTACAACTCTCGTTCTGTCTGGAGAGCTCTTGAATTAGCTATGTTGTGTGCAAACCCTTCTTCAGAAAAACGACCAAGCATGTTCCAAGTTGTTATCGAGCTAAAAGAGTGTCTTGCCTCTGAAATCTCGATGAAAAGTAACAATCAAGACATGGACTCTCACAGTTCTTCTGAAGTAAGCTTGAGCTTTGACACCAAGGTTGTGCCTAGCGCAAGGTAGTATTTGCAAAGAAGCCTTGTTTGCGTCGATTTTATACATTTCTGTTTGTTGTATGTATCTTTTTGTTGGAGTGACATCCTAAAGAAACATCTAATCAAAACAAAAAAATATATATAGAGTAAGAAACATGAGAAGAGAAATATAACAATTTTTTACTCATTCATTTAAATTTATTGTTAGATATTATATTTGGGCAGTTACTTTTCATACTCGCATGCTATCTTTTTTTTTCTTTCTTTTTTGTTAATTAGGAGGGCTTCAGGCCGTCCACCTTTTACTATTACTTTGCGATATAATTTGTAAGATATTTTTTCTATTAGGAATTGAACTAGAGGCACATATGATCAAGTGACCAACCCCTGTATTTAACAACTTGTTGAAGGTAGGTTTAGTATCCCTAATTAGCTAGGTCTATCTGTGTTTAAGGCCCAGCGCTCAAGATCAACAATTATCAAGCCTAGAGTCAACAAGTCCAGTCAGTATAACCCGCGAGATTACTATCATTACAACACCGATCTACACTGCCCAGAACCGAGCAGAAACTGACACGTGTAAGAGCAGTTCGTCTATAGTAGCCTAACTGCACAAATAGTTCGGCGACGAACTCATCATGATTTGCCGCAGAGTGGTTCGAACGCGCAGCTCCAAATGCCAGACCCGCAGAATGCACTAAAGCTGCCACATCACCCTAGTTGGGCGGGAATCCGCCTCCCAACTTCCACTATAAATACGCCCCAAGTATCATTAATGAAGGGGATCCCCGAGTATAATACTCTTAGGCTGATTGTATTATCTCTCTCTAAAGCTTGGGTTCAGTTCGCATTTTATACTTCAGTTCTATAAACACACAGTCAACGGTCCACGACCTGACTGCTTTCTCGACCTAAGTTCTTGTCAAACCTTTACTCTTAAATCACAGAAATCTCATCCCCGTTTACATCTTAATCATCATCACCATCTCATAAATACACTTAGTGATTACTGGGATCAACAATTGGTGCTAGAAAAAGGAGAGTTTAGAGATTTCTATACGCAAAAGAAAGATTTAGAAATGGCAGGAGCACCGACCTCGACCTCAGGAGTGCTGAAATCGTCACCAGCAAGAGCACAACCAGCAACCACATCAGTCGCAACACTCGCGGAACCCTAGCTGCCCACACCCGTCCCTCAATCCAAGGAGACCACCATGTCAACAGAGGCCGGAGCGTCACCACCGCAACTACCAGCACTGCCCCTCGCTCCGGATCCCATGCTAACAAACAGCCTACCTCGCCAGATCTTGGACCTGTTGGCGCTGCCCCCGAATCCGGTCCATGTTATCCCACAAACGCCGGTCGAGCAGCATGCTCCAGCAAGTGGAGAGCATGTTCTGGCTCCTCTGCTTCACTCTTTGCTTAACATGATGAACGAGATGACATGCCAAACTGACCAGAGATTCGCCGAGCTGACGGCAGAGCGCGGAATGCGGACAAACCAACCAGAGAACCCCAGGTCCTCAGCCGAGCGAAATCGGGAGGAAGTGCATCTTTCAGAGGTGTTGCGCTTACAAAGGAACCTCTTGGGGGCGATTCTCCAAAGGAGCAAGTAGGAGATTCACCCTGATAGCCAACAACTCAGCAGAGACGCGTCCACAGGTCACCAGCCCGGGAGCTTTTCGACGGATTGCCGCAGAGCGGGAGCGAGACAAAGAGATTGAAGCCATCAAGGCGAAGATTCACGAGATGATCTCTAAGGTTCATCAGGCTACAAGCTCGGCCCTTGAGATAGGCCATGTCTTGCAAGAGACGTAGAACACTTCCTTTACTCACCGTATAGCCTCCACTCCGTTCCACCACGTCAGCAAAGTAAAATTCCCCTTATATTCTGGGAACACCAACCCCACGTAATACCTAACAGCATTCACGGTCGCATGGGACGAGCTCACTTCACACCAGAAGATTTGGTTAGCCCCGCCCTGACTTGGTTTTCCAGGTTGGAGATGCACTCTATCGACAACTTCAAGGCACTCTCAACCACCTTCCTCAAGCACTATTCTATCTACATCCAGCGGGTCGCCTCCAGTGCTGATCTCTGGGCTCTAAGCCAGGGACTGAAGGAGTCACTCAGATCATTCATCGAACGTGTTAAAGCAACAGCCTCACGTGCCGAAGTATCAGATGAATTCACCATCCCCGCTCTGAGGAAGGCACTCTACTTCGAATGGCCATTCAAGGATGAAATGATGCTCAACAAGCCACGAATTCTGAAAGACGCCTTGCATCGTGAGGCTGTTTATCAAAGGTTAGAAGGAAAGGGCGAGTTTCAAGAATCTCACTCCCCAGAGGCCGACACAAAAGAAGAAGGTCGAGGACAAATACCACGAATCCCACCAACACTATGACGAAGAGTATCAGCGTAGACAGACCGCCACCTTCCTCGTCAGCAAAGTATCGGTCTCGTGCCTCGTTAATGAGGCCCCAGCCTTCTTTCACATAAGTGGCCAGCCCCAGCAATCTCTCCTGTCGAACAGGTGATTCCGAACTGTAGAAACGGCTATTCCAGAGCGGACAGTAGCCCCTCAAGAGTGAGCTGCAGCTCCCGCCACGCGAGACAACCAAGCCTTCTACAAATACCATCAAATGAGAGGGTACCCTACCGAAAAGTACCGCAAGCTTCAGGAAGCTCTCTTAGCTCATTATCAGAAAGGGAAGATAAGGGTTCCTGACCAGCAGCCATCGCATTGAAACAACAGCAACTGACCTTAGAATAATAATTGACGCGGTTAGCAGGACAACCAACATCACCTAGAAAATCGGGCTCAACAATATGACCGACGTCAGCGATCTCCCTATCACGAGGACAATAGGATACAACCTGCACAGCAGCAAGCTGCATAAAAAAGGCCAGTATTCCCACCCCCAGCTCTGACGATGATCAGAATGATCATGGGCGGCCTCCTATCTTGCAATGACTCCGTTAGATCGATCAAAGTACACGACGGAGATGTGGGTAGCCAAAATAAGAGAGACAAATGCTAAGGATACAAGCAGAAGGGGCATAACTTTCTACGAGGAGGACGCAGAAGGCATCGGCCAAACATACAATTGCCCCCTCGTCATCCAGATTCGCGTGGCCGACTGCGACGTAACCCGAGTGCTCATCGACACAGGCAGTTTGGTCGATCTCATCTTCAAAGAAGCCCTCGAGAAGATGGACCTCCGTGGCATCGAGATGAAGCCATCCGTCACTCCCTTAACCGGCTTCGCCGGAGATACCATTACAGCCATTGGCACCATCAAATTACCGGTTTACGTAAGCCGGGTAACAAAGATAGAAAATTCATCGTCGTCGACATGCCGACTATCTACAACATCATCCTTGGAACCCCTAGGTTGCATTTGATGAAGGCGGTCACATCGACCTACCACCAATGCCTCAAGTTCCCCAACCAGGCCGGACAGTCCGGAGCGACCAGAGGGTCTCGCGCTCATGCTTCATCATTGAGCATAAACTTTGCAACGCCGCTCGCACTCAGCTCTGCGCGACGATTAGCCGCAAAGGAATACCGACCTGCAATGTTGTCGAACCAGGACTCTCAGGGAACCAAACCAAGAAGACCGTCCGTTCCGAGACCTCATCATTCAAGTGAATATCGACTTCAGTAATCGCGATCATTGCGTTGGCATCGGAGCCGACCTGAAGGAAAGTATTAAGACCGAGTTCCTCAAGCATAACATCTCCTGTTTTTCCTGGTCAACCAGCGACATACCCGACATCAGCCCGACCATATGCAGCCATGAGCTCAACGTAGATCCAACATTCCGACCCTTCAAGAAGAAAAGACGAAAGTTGGGCGTCGAACGTGCTCAAGCTGTGAACGACGAAGTGGAAAGATTACTGGCAGTTGGTCAGATCACCGAGATAAAATACCCAGATTGGCTGGCCAACCCAGTCGTGGTGAAAAACAAAAACTGCAAATGGAGGGTTTGTGTGGATTTCACCGACGTGAAAAAGGCCAGCTCAAAAGATAGCTTCCCACTTCCATAAATCGACCAGATCATCGAAGTAACTGCGGAGAATGAAATCCTTTCATTTATGGATGCTTTCTCGGGGTACAACCAAATTTTTATGCACCTAGACAATAGGGAGAAGACAGTGATTATCACCGATCACGGGACCTACTGCTCAAGAACGCCGGGGCCACGTACCAGCACCTCGTATATAAAAAGTTCGCCGACCAGCTCGGCTGCACAATGAAAGTTTTCATAGACGATATGCTGGTCAAGTCCCTGGTGTCAAACAATTACATTGGTCATCTCAAAACATGCCTCAATACCCTGAACGAATACGGCATGAAACTGAATCCCTCAAAGTGCACCTTCGACGTCACCTCGGCAGAATTTCTCGGATACATCGTCATGCAGCGCGGGATAGAGGCAAATCTGAAATAAATTCAAGCCGTCCTCAAACTTAAGTTGTTGAAGAATAACCGTGAAATTCAGCGCCTCACCAAAAGGATCGCCGCTCTCAACCGATTCATCTCGCACTCCACAGACAAGGATCTCCCTTTCTATCAGTTACTCCGAGGTAACAAACGATTCGAATTGGACAACAAGTGCGATATGGCCTTCCAAGAACTTAAGGAATATCTATCTACCCCTCCAGTCCTGGAAAAACCCGAAGTGGGAAAACTCTCTGTCTCTATATCACTATGTCCACCTCGGCAGTCAGCTGTGTACTCGTGCGAGAAGACCGAAGTGAATATAAACCCGTATTCTACGTCTCCAAATCGCTTGACAGAGCCGAGAGCAGATATCCGAAAATGGAGAAGCTTGCAATAGCAGTCGTGGTAGCAGTCCAAAAGCTTCGCCCCTACTTCCAATCTTACACGATCGCCGTCTTGATCACGTACCCTCTTCGGACGGTCCTTCACAGCCCGAGCCAATAAGAGCGGATGATGAAATAGGCAGTAGAGTTCAGCGAGTATGACATTGATTATCGAGGATGTACCACCGCCACTAAATTGCCCATTTTTTTTCTTGATGAATCGAGCAATCCATGTCCCAACACACATACACAAAAACATGTATATATCTAGTGTGAAGTATATGTATAACAGTATATAACAAGAATTAAATAGATACAAGTCCCAAGTTCTAGCAGACTTTCTGGTCGAGCTCGCTCTCGAGCTAGTAGGTGAAGACCCCGATGAGAAATGGAGTCTTCATGTTGACGGTTTCGCTTCTATGCATGGTTCTGGCATCGGCATTCGGTTGGAATCACCGACTCACGAAGTACTGGAACAGTAGTTCCGTTTGGCTTTTCAAGTGTAAAATAACAAAGCGGAATATGAGGCTCTAATCGCCGGCCTGAGACTCGCGAAGGAGATCGGCGTCAAAAAAATCCAAGCATATTGCGACTCCCAGTTCGTCGCAAATCAATTCAGTGGAGAGTATGAGGTAAAGAACGAACGCATGGAGGCATACCTCAAAGTTTTCCAAGGACTGGCTTCCGAATTCTTTGAATTCAGCCTCACCAAAATTCCTGGGGTGATAACACCTCCGCTGACGTCCTGGCTTCCACCTTGGATCCAACTAAGCGACGCGTGATCCTGACCGAGAGCATCAATCTCCCAGCATTGATCTACCAAAAGGGGTCTGCCTGATTAACGAGTTCCTCGCGGACGATCCCAATGAGGACTAGGAGGATGCCCAGGACGACAATAGTCTGCCACCTTCTCCACCCGAGCCCGAACAGTCGGAGTGGCGCATTGATATCCTACTGTACATTGTCGATGGAACTGTCCCGGATGACCGCTGGGCTGCTCGGAGACTAAAGAAAAAGACAGCTAAGTACTTTCAAACCGACGAGAACCTATTTCGGTGGAGCGAAACAGGCGTCCTGCTCAGCTGTCTCCACGAGGATGAAACAATTGAAGTGATGGAAAGAAATGCAAGAAGGTGCTGGAGGAAGCCATTCAACAGGCCGATCTCTCGCACTTCGGATCTGTTACCAAGGGCACTACTGGCCAACCATGATCCAAGATTACAACAAGTTTGCAGCTCGGTGCGAGAAGTGCCAATACCACGGTCCTATGATTTACTGACTCGACCGAGCTCCTCACCACCGCATCACCGCTCTATCCATTCATGCGCTGGACCACTACCCAAATCCCGCCAAAAGCGCTTCCTCCTAGTGATGACCGACTATTTCTCCAAGTGGGTCGAGGCTGAATCATACGCACAGATCACTGCTGAGGATGTTCGCAAGTTCGTGTGGAAGTTCACCATCTGCCGTCACGGCCTGCGATACGAGATCGTCACAGATAACGGCGCCTACTTCACATCGTTCATATTCGAAGACTTCTACGCAAAGTGGAAGATCAGGCTGAGCAAATCCACACCGAAGTACCCGCAGGGCAACAGTCAAGCTGAGGCAACGAACATAACATTTAGACGCAAAGAAAGGTCTCTGAGCGGATAAGCTCGATGGAGTATTGTGGTCCAACCGCACTACACCTTGACATTCAACCAGTCAAACTCCCTTCAGCTTGTCACACGGTATGAAAATGATGCCCCCCTCAGAAGTCTGACTCCCAATCATTCGCCAGTTTATGCTTACACAATAAGCCGACCTCAATAACAACATGATCTGAAGTGAACTCGATTTCCTCGAGGAGGAACGCGACCAATCTCTGCTCCGAATGCAAAATTACCAGTAGGTCGCCTCAAAATATTATAACAAAAAAGTAAAGGACATGTTCTTCACAGAAGGTGACCTAGTCCTACCAAAAGTTTTCGAGAACACGGCCTAGCTGAACGCAGGCAAGCTCGGGGACAGCTGGGAAGGTCCCTACCTCATCTCAAAGTCACTAAGCATGGGGTATACGAGCTGGTTATGATGGAAGGCGAAGCGATCCCGCACTCATGGAATGCAATAAATCTCATGCGATATTACTTTTAAGCTCCCGACCTCTAAAATCCAAATCTATCTTTGTAAACAACCGAATTACGGCTGGCTTGATCATTTCTTTCGAAAGGTACGTAGGCAGCCCAACCCGGGCACAGCTATTAATATAATAAAATTTAATTATCAAATCTTTGCTCTCGAGTTATGTATACAAAGATGAGTTCAGACTCGCATTAATAAACACACAAACTATAAGTATTTTAGCCAGGTCCCGATCTGCATCAATAAACACACAAACTATAAGTGTTTTAGCCAGGTCCCAATCTGCATCAATAAACACACAAACTATAAGTGTTTCAGCCAGATTCCGATCTGCACTGAACATCACACAAACTATAGGTGTTTTTAGCCGAGTTAGCTACTCACACCTACACAATTTCTAAATGGAAGCCGATCTCAACCTTGCAATACGCAAAAATCGGGAAAGTATCTTTTATTAAATAAGGAAACGGCCCATGGCCTACATCCGAAATCAAGGCAAATCAACACGCCTATATCTTCCTGGCTCAGCATCCGTGCATTCGTCCCATGCGGACCTCGGAAAGGTTGGTTCGACCCCACCACTCCATCTCGATCTTCCGAGTTTGGGTTCGAGATTCGAAGGACCAGCGCCGGAGGGGTCACGCCTTGGCTAGGCACCGAAGGCGGAATTGGAGCAGTTGATAACACCATATTTGTACCCATTTTCACCATTGATTTTAAATGATTTTTCAAAGGTTTTAATCAGTTTTAAGAACTTTTATTATGATTTCTATGTATTTGTAGTTTCAAGGCTCTTTTCAGGAAACTTATGAAAAATGTAGCAAAATGGAAGAAATCCACATTTTTAGCTTAGAGTCAGATCGTCAGAAGTTTGGCCTCAAATGAAGACTTTCTCACCGTCCGATCCAGCTCAAATTTAGAAACAATCAAGAGGATAAAACCAGATTTCCATAGCATTTTACATCACAAAGATCCAACGGTGCAATCAAAAGATACAGGGAGAACAAGTTGACCAAATTCACCAGTCCGGAAAGACTCTCACCCGCGGCAAAGTAGCATTTTACCTGTCCTGGAAGACTCTCACCCCCGATGGATCCATGACAAGCGACAAGACCCAGCATCAAAGCCCACTTCACCATTCCTCTTCAGAGAAGCCCTAAATGAGACCTGAAAGACCTTAGGACCTATAAGTACATTTCTTAGCAGTTCTAAACGGGTGTGTACTTCTGTAATAAGATTTGGAGCCACCAAACTTTGTTTTTCTAGGGTTAGGCGATAGAGATGGGGATTCTTCCCCAGATCCATTTTTCTTTCTCTTTTTTATCTAATTAACTTTTCTGTTTCATCTTTTGCATTCTTTCATGTCTTTTATCATTCCTTGCATCATGTAGATCTGTTCCAGAGAGTCAAGTTGTTTAATGGAGTCTTTTTAATGGAGTCTTTCACAAAAGAGGTAAGCGACAAAGGGAATAAAACTTAGTTCTCTCCCAAAAAACCCTAAAAAGTATTTATACTTCCTTAAAAACGAACCGGGTCAGCCCAGAACAAACCGGGTCCTGACCCGGCTTTAATGGATAAGGTGGGAATTACTGCGGGTTGGTCCAGTATGTCCCAGGTAGCACACCTAAGTCGCAGTAGATGAAGACTTGTCTTGTGAAGCCTGAATCGCCTTGTCTTAGCCGCACGCCTAAGTAGGAGTGTTTTGCGAGTGTTGCTGCGGCTTGATCTCCTTCCTCTCCAACTCGCAGGACTTTGGCGGTTTCTGGGGAATGTACAAACTGTGCGGGTTGGTCTCTATTCCACCTAGGTCGCAGGCTCAAGTCGGGGTGATTTGCGAGTGATCGTGCGGCTTAGTTCCAGGCGCGGCTAACTCGCATGCCTAAGTCGCACGATTGTGGACTTAGCATTTCTCTTGCTCGGGAGCATCAGACCTCTTCCAGTGATAATTTACCCGCACATTTCAACTCGCAGCATCAGCATTCAGGCGTTCATCTTCAGGCCTGCGGGTTAACCAAGTCGCAAGACCATCTCGCAGCATTCAGAGCAGCTTAGACCACTTCGCATTCCGGAGAGTGTAACTTCTATGATACTTGTCC